CTCAAATTTCAGTGTTAAGTTGTGTTTGGCTTTCACTAAAATGTTGCATGACTTCACTATTAGAGTGAAGTCCATTCATTCTAGATGACCTCATAATATATTCTGTACTAAAGGCTGGGTTTTTGGTTGTAGCTGTGTTGGTCTAAGGACGTAGGCAGGCAAGGTTCTTTGGGTAGATATTATATCTTTTATTAGACCAACTGAGTAGTTGGAAAAACATTATTTGCAAGCTTTCAGGCACAATCACCCTTCTTCAGGCATAGGGAGTCTCTGCTATTCTGAGAGTCCAAGGAAGTCTCAGATTTGATTTTGGACTCTCAGAATAGCAGAAACTTCGTATGCCTGAAGAAGGGTGATTGTGCCTGAAAGCTTGCAAATAATGTTTTTCCAACTACTCAGTTGGTACTAAAGGCTGGAAGTCTAACAGGAAGTACACTTTTAGGGGGAATTTTATTGTGGTGATTTTGAACTTGTGCTTTTGTCACCTGTTCATGGAGCTGGGGCTCTTGCTGGAAGTTTTACTAATGGCTGTCCTGCCCGCTGATCTACCTGGGCCTTTTTATTTGGCAGTGGTTTGCTGTGCTATCCTCTGCCATCACCCACTGTCTGGCACCCTCTTTGGAGAGGTCTTGCCACAGATACTATTGCTGTCTCTCTTTTTGAAAGCCGGTTTGTTGCTGCAGCCTGTATCTTTTAGCTGGAGCTTTTGTTCTGAATAGCAGCAACAACAAAAAATCAAAACCCCACCTGACTGGATTAGCAAGTTGAAATGTTGTGGTAAAATTGGTGATGGACTTGTACTTTTTGCTGCCATATTCAGCATCTTGCGTGCTATCTAATCCATTTATTTTGAAGGTGATTAGCAGTGTTATATGAATGAGCCACTCTCTTGGGACATATTACACTGGTAAACTGAAAACCTGAGTTGGTTCTAGTCAGAGTCAAAAGATGAGCACCCAGTTGCTTTTGTAGGGCAGAATATGACCCTAATTTATTCCTTTTAATGTTATTTTTTGGGGGTGGATGAGGCTGTTCTTGCTCATTTCCTCCTTTCTCTGAGAGGGGAGGAAGGCTCACTGATAATGGGTTGTATGTATTTAGCTTTTATATATGCAGTGGTGAGTTGGAACAAAGCTGTAGATCTGGGGTCTGCAACCTTTTTTTGGACCAAGTGTCAAAAAGCCCTGCAACCTCAACTTGGAAGATGTTGGTATGCCAGGGGCAGATGGCGTGAGAGCCTGGTGTGCCAGGGGCAGATAGCAAGAGGCTCGATTCTTGTTGTGGCAACACAGCCCCGGCCCCTTTGCTGGTGGGCTCCCCAAGGCTTGTGCGCAGCTGCTCTCGGCAGTGACCTGGGCTGCAACTCCAGACCTCGCGTGCAGCTGCTTGCAGCCTTGTAGCTGCCTGCAGCCTGGGCTTTTGGTAGGCCCCTGCCACCTACCACGGAGCTACAGCTGCTCACAACAGGGCTTGCAGCTTCCCTGCCTCCTGCTGTGAGCAGCCTGGGCTCCGTGGTCGGCAGCAGGGGCCTGCCCAGAGCTGGGGTCAGCTGCTGTTACTGAGCAAAATGGTTTCATGTGCTATGCACTGGGCTCTTCATTGGTAATTTACACTTGGACAAATAGGGTGGCTATAGCAAATAAAGATCTGCTGATGAGGAGGGGTTTTCTCAATTTCATTTTCTCCCTGGGAAGACTGTTTTTTAAAACACAAATTGCATCTAATTGCACTACCCCGATAATGGTACCCTTAATTGCATTAAGTACTACTTTTTAAACAACCCAAAATGTTTGTTTGCTTGAGATTTATTAGGTGGAGAATGTGACTTGTGTATGATTTGTGAAAATTGCTTGGAGAGAAATGATTAGATTTTTGCTGCAAGTAGTTGCTAGTACTACAATATGAGGATTACAGTGAGCATTGAACTTTTGGCACAGTTTAAATTTAATGAATCACCGTTAGGTCTCACACAAGATCTTGTATTTTGGATTTATGCAGATTCTTGAAACTATGCCAATGACGGAGAAAGTTGAAGAATTACTGCAAGTTCTTGGCCCATTCTATGAAATGGTAGAGGATAAGAAGAGTAACAGAGGATCTGACTTAACATCAGGTTTGAAGTTATGAAAACAAACAACTTTTTTTTCCTCTTGCCACTTATAACAATTTCAGCTTCACTTAATTACCTTGCATAGATTTCATTGTAGCTTTTTATTTTTAGTGAATTGTTCTCCAGCTAAATATTACATCTTTCTGTTCATTCCCTTACAATATGCCAGTCCAACTGGAGAAAGTCTCTAAATATCTGGAAGGTAGGAATGATAAGTGTGTATAAATCCATCTTTTTCCATTTGTTTTACATACCACAGTTCTCTTTTTAAACTCTTGACTTCTGGGCTTGCCACCACTAGCTCTTACATATAAGCTAAATGCTACAGAAAACTGAACATTATCTGTTGGCTGTACCCAAAATGTTACTGGATGAGAGAAATCTTGCTGCAGAGGTGCCCTCTGCTGAAGAAGAGAGATATAAAAAATGGTTCTGTCCCTCCACTAGCAATAGTGACAGCTTCTTAACTTTGCCTTCCATGTTGCAAATGTTTTAATTGCTTTACACCAGGCATATATAGACTGCACAATTAATAAGTGGTTCAGATTGTCTTAGTGTCCCACAACTAGGTATTTATGTGGATACCATGAGTGGGAACCTGTTTCTCTTTCTCTTCTCTACCATACCCTGTAAAGATTTCTATTTTACGCTTTCTTAACATAGCTTTGAGTAGGCCAGTTATGCAACAATTGGTTGTCTATAGTCTCAGTCCTCTTACTTGGAAAAAAGTCATCTGCAGGTTGCTGCTGTTATGGGGACGGAGTTTAATATTTTTCTTTTCTGAATCCTAGGTGTGTGAAGTATGTCAAAGACCAGTAATAAAGTACAAGTTCCCTCTTCTCTCTAATCAATTTAGATTAAATGCTCAAGGGAAGAGGGGGTAGTCTAGTTGCTTTTATATACTGAAAGGTGGCAAACCTAGTAATTTCATAGTTGCATATAAAATCATTGTGGTGGTGACTTTTATTTTAATAAGCTATATGTAATTTAAATATTATGAAGATGTTGTTTTGATAACTGACAACCTTTTTGACCAATGTTGTCTAATTATACTTTGTTTAAAGAGGCTTTTAAAATCTAGTTAATTAAGTTTCAAATGGACTACATAGGCTATATTGGAGCAGTTTTTGCTAATTCATGTGTTGTACAGCTCAATTTTTATGCACATTTTTAAAACCTCAATTAACTTGTTTTAAAATGGTTTTCATGCTTAAAGGTAAAAAATGGTTTGTTTGTTCATTTGTTTGTTTAGCACTGGCACCTAATCAGATACATTGAAATAACTTTCTGTATTTTGGAGGAAAAAAACCTTTTCCCTGTTGTAAATGGTTACTTTGAAATCAGGGTCACTTTTTTCCAGCTAAAATTGCATATGCTTCAGGTTTTGAGATTTAATATGTTTGGCTGACAGCAGGATTGATGGGCAAGATTGTAACAGAGTATCTGCAGATTCAGGTCAGTGATCTGCATAATAAGGATTTACTTGGAGTGGATGGTATAATGTGCCACAAGCTACTTTTTTAAAAAATGCTAAATATAAACCAACTGATTCATAGAGTTAAAGACAGAAAGCCAAAATTTGATAGATCTTAAATGTTACTATAACAGTTATTTAAAAGCATCTAAATTAAGATGTGGTCCATTTTCTGATAATCCTAACACTCCAAATACTTTCTAACAGGAAACTGGAAGCTGAGGCCCACTTCAGCCCTATCTGGCTCTGTCAGTATTGCCACAGAAGATTCCCTCCACCCCAGAGTGCTAAGGAAATTGGCTAAGGAAAAGGGTCATTGCGGGACCCCTGGCACAGCAGTATGAGCACTCATGGTGCTCTGGGGACCACATTGGCCCTTTTCCAGTCCCCTGGCACCACACCATTTTGAGAAAAGGGAGGAGGACCCAGGAAACTATAGATCCGTTAGTCTTACCTCAGTCCTGGGGAAGCTCTTTGGGAAAATTTATCCAGGAGCACATCTGCGAGGGACCAGTAGGGGAGATTATGCTTCAGGGCAACCAACATGGGTTCATTAGAGGCAGGTCCTGTCAGACCAACCTGGTGGCCTTCTACAACCAGGTCACAAAATCTGTGGGTGCAGGTCTTTCTGGACTTTAGAAAGGCCCTCAATACTCTGTCACCCCATTCTCATTAAAAAATTAAGCGACTGTGGTGTCGATGCCTAAACAGTCAGATGGGTCGCAAATTGGCTGAAGGGCCGCACCCAGAGAGTGGTGGTGGGCGGGTCATTTTCGACCTGGAGGGATGTGGGCAGTGGGGTACCCCAGGGCTCGGTCCTCGGGCCCGCCCTATTCAACATCTTCATCAGTGACTTGGACGAGGGGGTGAAAAGCACCTTGTTCAAATTTGCAAATGACACTAAGATGTGGGGGGAAGTGGGCACGCTAGAGAGAGGGACAGGCTACAACTAGATCTGGACAGGTTACAGGGGTGGGCAGATGAGACTAGGATGGGTTTCAGTATGGACAAGTGCAAGGTACTGCCCCTGGGGAGAGAGAACCAGCAGCATACCTACAGGCTGGGGAACTCCCTTCTCGTCAGCACAGAGGCAAAAAAGGATCTTGGAGTTACTACTGATTCCAAGATAAACATGGGCCACCAATGTGAGGACAGGGTCAGGGAGGCTAACCGCACCTTGTCATGCATCCACAGATGCATCACGAGCAGGTCCAAGGAGGTGGTCCTCCCCCTCTATGCAACAGTGGTCAGGCCGTGGTTGGAGTACTGTGTCCAGTTCTGGGTGCCGCACTTCAGGGGGGATGTGGTCAGCATCGAAAGGGTCCAGAGGAGGGCCACTCGCATGGTCAGGGGGCAGCAGGGTAGGCCCTATGAGGAGAGGCTATGGGACCTGAACCTGTTCACTCTCCACAAGAGAAGGCTGAGAGGGGATCTGGTGGCCATCTACAAACTATCCAAGGGGGACCAGCAGGCAATGGGAGAGTCCCTGTTCCCCTGAGCACTACTGGGAGTAACAAGGAATAATGGCCATAAGTTGACGGAGAGTAGATTCAGGCTAGATATCGGGAGGCACTACTTTGCTGTCAGGGCAGCTAGGATCTGGAACCAACTTCCGAGGGAAGCGGTGTTTGCTCCTACCCTGGGGGTCTTTAAAAGGAGGCTAGACAGCCACCTAGCCAGGGTCGTTTGACCCCAGCATTCTTTCCTGCCCATGGCAGGGGGGTCAGACTTGATGATCTGCTCAGGTCCCTTCCGACCCTACCAACTATGAAACTATAAGATGGCATATGTTTTTTTTGGTTTTGTGTTTTTTTTTTTTTTTTTTTCACAAATTTTAACAAAAGGCAAATATTGTAGTTTCTGTGTGAATTAATGATGTTGGCACTTGAATACTGAATTCCTTTTGTAATCGTGACCCATAACTGCCCCAAGGTTCTGAAGAAATCCATTCCTTGAGCCCCATCCCACTGTATTAAAAAAACTAATATTAAGTAATAAGTTAAAAACAAACAAACCAAAAAACCTCTTACCCTTAAAATACTATTGTATTTACTTTAATTCAAGATGAGGTGTCCCCACCCTTGTCCTTTTAACAAGGTGGGTGGATAAGTAGAGCCGTGTCTTGGATTTGAACACTGGGGCCAGAGCTGCTGCCACTGTCACTGCTGCCTGGCCAGGGTTTAGCATGTGGGGGGAGCATGGGGGAAAATTGCATAGTGTGGGGATGGGGGGACACGTGGGGAAGATGCGCACAGTAGGAACTCGGGGAAAACAGCACAGTAGGGGAACTGCTATGACTTCAGGTCTGGCCCTGACCTGGCCAGGGGCGGGAGCCAAAGCTGTCACTGCTGTTACTACCTGGTTGAGGCCAGAGATGGAACCAATCTCTGCAGAGGGTGTGTGTGTGTTTGGGGAGGGGCTGAGGTAGGTAGAACAGATGGTGAGTGCAAGTGATGATGGAGTGGGTAGCTTTTGGGGGCGATGGAGGCAGAGGGGAAGGGATCAGGCTGCATGCCTCCCTGCTGCTCCTTTCCTGGCTGTTGCTTTCCATGCTGCAATGCTGGGGAGGACTGGACACGTTTAGGACAGCCCTCCAATAATTAGAATCTGTACTTGGAAAACTGTTACAGATGTATAGTTTTCCATGTATAGAATCTGATTATTAAGGGGTTGTCTTAAATTCAAAGTTGTCTTGCATTCGGGTAAGTATAGTAATTTCTAATTACTTCTCACTTTTTTACAAAGCATTTTGTAAACATTGATTACTCCATTTTACAGAAAGCAAAGTTAAGGCACAGGATCAGTCATTTGTGAAAAGTCACACAGCATGCAGTGCTTAGGGATGGCTTTAGAATTCAGTCAAAATGTTTCCAAAGTGACGAGTGTGTGTATGTGTATATGTTAATACCCAGCTTAAGATTTCTTTTAAGGTAGCGTTTTTCAACACATGGGTCACGACCCAAAAATGTGCTGAAGAATATTTCTAAGGGTCACATGTCTGTGCCAGAAAAACGCACAAAAATGCAGGTTTCCCCTTGCAGGCTGGCAGCATTCCAGCCTGCAAGTAGCTGCTGGGGACACGGCCAGGACGCAGCCAGGCAGGGTTGTGGAAGCAGCCCCAGCAGTCAGATGAAGGTAGGGGCAAGGTGGCCGGGTGCTGAGGCTGTGGCAGGACAGGGTGGGCAAGGGACTGTGGGTCACGCACCAGCAGGGCCAGGGGGGTGTGGGTTGGGACAAGTTATGAATCTTGGCAAATGGGTCCCGGTAGGAAAAAGGTTGAGAACCATTGTCTTAAGGGACCTGACTTTCAAAGGGCAGATGCTTGGTACTTTCTAAAAGTTGAGCTTCTTTTCATGCTGGGTATCCCATATTGCTAATTTGTTTTTGACAGATTGGGACTGTTTCTCCTGGCTTGCAATAGTGCCCCACATTTTTGGGTCATTTTGATCTAATTTGAGTTCCCACTCCATTTTTCCAAATTTAATATCTGTACTAAAGAAGTTTTTTTTTTTTTTTCCTCTGTGCCTAA